TATTATTTTGAACAATACTGTATAAGGGCAGAGTCTAAGACAGGCACTCAAGAACCTAGCTGATAATCAAGGTCCAGTGGGTGGCTCTGGAGTAGAAGAAAGGTGTGTGAATGTGGTAAAAGACAGGTAAGCACTTTGAACTGTAAACTGCAACATATGTGTGGATTATGCCTTTTAAGCTGAAGTAAACTAACACAGGAGGGCAGGCTTACCAAAAATCTTTGATACATGCAGCAGGCTTGAGGCCTACTTCCTGGTGTTTGCATGAGCAAGCTAACATGAGGACACATTAGAAGTTTGACTGGTTTGTTGGAGTGAAAGCCAACACTGGGTGGATTCTGATACAGCAAAAAGGAAGCAGACATTTGTCTAGTTATTTGAGCAATGTTTGGTGAGTTATTTGAAGTGTTTGGTGGCTAGAATAGCAGTTGAAATGTTTGCTAGTACTAGTGACTGTTTGGTAACCGTTAGCCTGAATTATTAAGAGAATAGATGAAGAGTTGTTGGGTGTGTGGATGCAGGCAAAGAGGGGGGTGGTTCTTGAATGCTGGAACACACTATTGAGCCTTCTCTGTGTCATGGGCCCAACTCAACAAAACACCAGTTAGTGAGAGGGTGCCCACCTGATGACCCTGTAGAGTTGCCTTCACCCACACAGAACCTTTAGTGTTAGTGATGATATAGCTACAGATGAAATAACTAGCTACTTCTACCCTCATTATAAGTACTACTGACAGTACTACTATGTTGTAAAACTATGAAATACAACATAGTATACTAGGTTGCAGAAATACTATGATCAAGATGGCGCCAACAACTATGGCTGCCTTGTGTACTCATGCTCTCTTGTGTGTGTTGTTTTTCTTTGTTTCCTCAGTCTTTTGCAACCCATCCTGGATTACTTTCACCAGAGCAGAATTGCTAAACATTGGACAACCCACACCAAACTATCTTTCGCCAATCTTTGTGAATGAGGAATGCTGTGTGGACATTCTACAGCTGCAATCTACAGGATCTGGAGAAAACGCCGTCGAGGGAAGCGGGCAGGAGCGCTGGTCAGGCTACACCAGAGAGGGACCTGGACTCCACTCCCATCTATCCACCTAGCGAATGTGCGCTCTGTAGTACAGTTACAAAGTGCCATTTAAGTTAAATGATCCTATTAATGTCTTTGTTTTGACATTTTCTCATATGAGCATTAACATTCCCTCCCACCTCATGTGAGTCCCATACTCTTTTTGCTCTCTGTCATATTTTAGGATAAAAAAAAAAAAAAAAAAAAACTTTAAATTTCTTCCAGATACACATTCCATGAATATATTCTCAGTAATGTTGACCAACTTACACAGAGTGACACCATACGCCACCTGTGACACCCCCTGTCTGTAATAAGCAAGAGTGATATGATGGTTACACCGTTCTGTTTATACACCTGGTGGTCACATATCCCAGAAAGGATCACATCACAGTGAGCTCACCTATGACAGCATTGGGCTCTGTTCCAAAGGCACACACACAGGGAGAGCCTGATGGGACCTGGAACTTGGAGAAGCTCCACTTAGAGCTGAAGTATTTAGGAAGAAAGCTGGCTGATGCCAAGCTGCAGAAAGAGGAACACACAATCAGGACACAGGAAGTCATTACCAACACTTGTACTTACCAGCTCTATTCAGACAACTCTATTCACTGGAACCCTGAAATTATCTAGACATTACCTGGAGAAGTTACAGTATATATGAAAACACAAATGTCCAAGTCAGATGGCCCAGACATTAAGTTGACTTTCTCCTGCAGATCTCTAGCAGAAAATTTGCGTAAAGTCTGAGTGAGCCAGAGTGAGCCCATGTGAGAAAACAGCAGTTTAGAGTCCAGAGTATGCACATTGAGCTAGCAGGTATGTTGATGACATTCTATCATGTGACTAGTGTGAAACTGGAAGAATACAAATCTGATGGTGACACAGACACCAACACAACATAACTAACCCGAGACACGATGAGATTCAAGAACTTATGTTAAGAGCCGGTGCCAGAATTGTCACACAGATTTATTGTATTGCAAGAGACTTGGTTGTTTCTGACTAAATATTTGACTATGTCATATCCTGCCTTCTATGTGAGTAAATCACACTTAAAGGACTCAGAGCCTGAGGAAAAAGATCCTCTGGTCTGATGAGACAAAAATGCAACTCTGTAGCCAGAACTCCGGCATGCTGTCGAACACCAGGCACTGCCCATCACATGCTAAAAGGCCCCCCACCAACAGCCGGGTCTGTCAGAGGGTTCTTCGGTTAAAGGGGGTTTTACCTCCCGACTGTTGCCAAGTGCTTTTGGGAAATTTGTTAGGTTTTCCTCTATAATAATAATAGTGACAATAATGATTATAATAATAATAACTGATTATAATGATGAATATAATAAACTAGATAAATGCATTTTCTGAAGAAAATGCGTATGGATACTGACTGCTACAAGATCGCCCTGAAAATGCTGAACATTTTGACATGTGAATGGTTTTGCTAGCTGAAAGTATGCTGAAGTAGAATTTTCCAATTCACTTGAATGGGGCAAGATTTTCAAAATAAAACTAAATACCTTAGGAGTATGAAGTTTAGAAACATTCTGAAAAGAAGCATGAATGTCCATGAAGAGCTAAACATTTTAATAGCTGAAATAGCTGAAAGTATGCAGAAGTAAAAATTTCCCCATTCATTTGAATGGGGCAAAATTTTCAAAATGAAACTAAATATTTGAGAAGTATGAAGTTTTCAAATGTTCTGAATAGAAGCATGAATGTCCTTGAAAAGTTGAACATTTAGTTTAGAAAACTTCTGAATAGAAGCATAAATGTCCTTGAAGAGCTGAACATTTTAATAGCTGAAATAGCTGAAAGTATGCAGAAGTAAAAATTTCCCCATTCATTTGAATGGGGCAAGATTTTCAAAATAAAGCTAAATATTTCAAAAGTACGAAGTTTAGAAAATGTTTGAAGAAAAGCATGAATGTCCTCGAAGAGCTGAACATTTCAATGTCTGAAAAAGTAAAAATTCCCTCATTCATTTGAATGGGGCAAGATTTTCAAAATAAAGCTAAATATTTCAAAAGTACGAAGTTTAGAAAATGTTTGAAGAAAAGCATGAATGTCCTCGAAGAGCTGAACATTTCAATGTCTGAAAAAGTAAAAATTCCCTCATTCATTTGAATGGGGCAAGATTTTCAAAATAAAGCTAAACATGTTAAAAATATTAAGTTTAGAAAACATTTGAAGAAAAGCATGAATGTCCTTGAAGAGCTGAACATTTTGATAGATGAAATAGCTGAAAGTTTGCTTAAGTAGGATTTCCCCATTCATTTGAATGGGGCAAAAGTTTCAAAATAAAGCTGAATAGTTTAAAAAGTGTGAAGTTTAGGAAAATTCTGAATAGATGCCCGCATGTCCTGAAAAAGCGGAACATTTTGATACCTGAATGGTGTTTCTAGCTGAACGTATGCTGAAGTATTGATTGATTGATTGATTGATTGAACATTTTAACAGCTGAAATGGCTGAAAGTATGCAGAAGTAAAAATTTCCGAAAATATATACAAACAACAAAGATATACAGTGCCTTGCAAAAGTATTTGTACCCCTTGAATTTTTCCCACATTTTGTCACATTACAACCACAAACTTAAATGAATTTTATTGGGATTTTATGTGATAGACCAACACATAACATAGCATAATTGTGAAGTGGAAGGAAAATGATACATGGTGTTCAAGATTTTTTACAAATAAAAATCTGAAAAGTGTGACTAAACAGGAAAAGCCGAAAGTGACTTTCTTTCTTATTACGTTAGGGTTGGTAGTTTGTTCAACAGGATTTTAGAGAGTGTGAAGATGCCTGAGGAATGGAGGAGAAGTGCTGATCTTTAAGAACAAGGGTGATGTGCAGAGTTGCAGCAACTACAGAGGTATAAAGTTGATGAGCCACACAATGAAGCTATGGGAAAGAGTAGTGGAAGCTAGGCTAAGAAAGGAAATGGATATCTGTGAGCAGCAGTACGGCTTCATGCCCAGAAAGAGCACGACTGATGCAATTTTTGCTCTGAGAATGTTAATGGAGAAGTATAGAGATGGTCAGAAGGAGCTGCATTGTGTCTTTGTGGATTTAGAGAAAGTGTACGACAGAGTACTGAGAGAGGAGCTATGGTACTGTATGAGGATGTCAGGAGTGGCAGAGAAGTACTGTACGTCAGAGGAGTTCAGGATATGGATGAGAGGAATACGACAGTAGTGAGATGTGCTGTAGGTCAAACAGAGGAGTTCAAGGTGGAGGTGGGGCTACATCAAGGATCGGCTTTGAGTCCCTTCTTGTTTGCTATGGTGAAGGACAGGTTGACAGGTGAGGTCCGACAGGAATCTTCGTGGACAATGATGTTTGCGGATGACATTGTGATCTGTAGTGAGAGCAGAGAGCAGGTGGAGGAACA